GGAGTAGGAGGTGGAGGAGGTGGAGGAGGGGGAGGAGGAGGTGGAGGAGGTGGAGGAGGAGGAGGAGGATAATCAAGCAAATTATTGATAATGGTGATGATGAGGCTCCTCCTCCTCCTCCTTTTCATGATGAGGAGGAGGGGAGGAGGGGGAGGAGGGCAGGAGGAGGAGGGGAGGAGGAGAGGAGGAGGGGAGGAGGAGGAGGAGAGGAGGAGGAAGATAATCAAGGCGCTGACGAAGAGAAGATGACAATGATAACGATGATGATGATGATAATAATGGTGATGATGATGATGATCATGAACTAGTGAGAGTATTTAATTGGCGTGTGGATGGTCATGAGTACAAGCTCCCGATGAAAAAGATTTTAGTTTGCTCCAGCTCACAGGAATCACGACTAGTGGTAATTACAGTTGACGTTTTCAATTTGAGTATAGTTTAAAAAAAACCTGAACAAATTTAGGCTTGGCTGAAATTCGAGACCTGAACCTTTCTGTTGACTGGACACAAATGAATGGAGAGAAGGTAGCAGACCGGCTACTTTACACTCTCGTGGAGTGCATGATGGCTAAGAAGAGTAAATTGGTATGAAACTATAAAGCCAAAAATAACACCATTGTCAATTCTTCTTAGTCCATAAAAACACACACTTGGTACACACCTGACACAAGATGAGCATCCTAATGGACATTGACTTACATTTCGTGCCTTCTTTAATATACAAGGTTCAGCAGGCACCCGCATTGATTTAAATGATACTGACAAATGTTTGATTCACCTTCTTTGCTTGAAGTTTCCCCTCCATCTTGTGAAGAATCCTTTTTATTTGTAAGCCAAACAAAATAATTTCTAAACTAGGTAATAACCAGAGGTTAGGGAGTGTAGGCGACAACGATCAGAGGTCCAAACGCTTTTGCTCCAAGGCTGTGCTTTGCGTTGGTTTCACGTAACAGTTGATCAAAACACAGGTGATCAGATGATGAGGGGTAGGAAGTCGAAACGCGCATGATCAAATTGCGTTTTGTGCACTCCATTCATTCTTAGTGGAAATCCAAACGAATGCTGGTTACATACATGCCCGCCGCATGGGTAATAACAACCTGGAGATTAGGATTGCGGGCTCCTCTTGTGGCCTGCAATAAAACACAACAACTTACGTGTACAAGTTAAGTTAATCAAATGCAATTAAATGACAGATCATATCAGTTGTGGACGCAATAGTTGTGGCATCCAGTTGTTAATTTGCATATTTTTTAGGAACCTGGCTAGGTCAAACTGAAGCCAGTAGACTTTGAATGAAAAGTCA